AAATTTATCGAAAAACTACACGACAGAGACCAATATATTAACATATGCATAATTTATTTATGTAATTGTATTTATCTCATTTCTTTGTTTCCTAAAATACTGCGCTACTTTCTGAAAATTATCGCTTTTTTCAAGTTGTATGAAAAGGTATCAAGAAGTGATGATTAACCATAAATGGCGAAGCTTCGTTATAAAGACTGATTAAACTTTTAACCCTTTAACACCCATAAATGACCATGACACCATTCTTCTTTACGATATCAATACAATATCAAGCAGACAAGTGATAAGAATAAATAAAAATATCGCTTAAAGGATTGAGTTGATCCAATACCAAATTCTCAAAACTATCATCACAAGAATTGTATGAATGACAGTAAGGAGAATTACTAATGAGATTTTGGGAGTTTAAGGGTTAATCAAGTTCCATGCATTTGGTGAGCTTTTCTCCGTGAAAGGGAGAAAACCATTAAAATTTGGTGGAAATATAAACCAGCTCTCTGTATCAAAAGATGCAACACGAATTCTTTTATCGTTTCCTGTCTTAGGATATTTGTATTCTTCTGTATGAAGTTCAACTTAATTCAATTCAGAATGAAAGAGTTCTTCTCTTCTCAATTCTCATTTAAATATACCGTTTTATCATTCATTTATATTTACCGGAAATATGATTCCGAAAAAGACCGGCTTTAGATATTTCTCCATGTAGTTTCCATTTGTATTCAAAATTATTTATTCAAATACAGAAAAAAGAAAAGCCAATAACACATTCCATGTTCTCCAAAACACGAAACCGTTATAAAATTTCTTTCTTTAAAGTTAAGATTTTAGAATAATTCCTCTAGAATCGCTTCAATACCTGAAGCTAGTGCCAGCAAAATTTTTGTTACCGGAATTGTGATTTGATACAAAATTCTCAGGTGATCGATCGCTTGAACACCTCGAGTTAGTGCCTTCCAAATTTCAGCCATATCTCTCGACTTCCTATGAGATGGGCAACACATTAGCTTCGCATTTAGGAACGTATTGCCTCTCATGTACATTCCTTTCAACAGTGATACTCTTATCAATAATCACATTTCAGATGTTTCAGCGTATGATCACCGCTCACAGTTCCTTCTTGCCCTCTCCTGTGGACTACCGAAATCCTCTTGTATGGAGCATGGCACATCGTGGGGTGACCCTTGTATTGATCCATACTTGGGCGAGGTCGTAGGTTCGTACATAAGGCACGATTGATTGGGCGGCGATCCTATAGATCTTGATACGCTGGTACTCACTGAAACGTTCTGACCAAGCAGTTTATCTTGTACGTTCGCCTCTACTTTCCCAGATTCTGTAAGAAGAACCACAAAAAGGTAAAAACTTCAGACACTTCTTTGCTCAAGCGCCTTTTTACATTACCGCTTTTTTTTAAGGATATTGTTTATTTTATGTATGCAATGCTGCGGATTCGAACTCAGCCTTAAGAAAACTCGTTTCTAAGAATCTACCAATTTCGAAAGTACTTTCGGGATTTAGTCTGATGCTGCATAATGAAAACTGGTCGCTTCATGCACTGCATAGTCAGTTCAGAAGAATAGGGTAAAGATACATAAAAATTATACGAGTCTATGAGTCTATTCCAACGAAAATAAATTAAAAAAACAAATAAAAATTATTTTAAAATACAATTGAGGCTTTTCCTCACAACTAAAAAAATTACCTTCGAAGTCTCCTATTTTCGTCTTTAACATGCTGATTAGAACCAGCATTGATATTATGGTTGCCCCACCAGCAACATACACCATAACCTCTCTGTAGTATGGACCACAGCCTGCGCAGCAGGTCCTAAGGAAATAAAAATAACCGATCAGCAAATTAATAAGTTCAGTTAACGCCAATGGTTCAGGTTTAAACGTATGGTAAGCGAGGCTTCAGCAGCCGAAAGGTGAAGGCTCTTTACCATCTGTATGCCACACGCACTACAGTGCTTCTGCCGTACCTTTCAGTTTCACGCGCTCAAGCGAAGGCTTTGCAGTTGATGGTTTGAAGCCAAAGCGCATTAGGAGTATTGCATTACCTTTGATAAGGCCGTCCACCTTTCAAAAATGTCTACGCTCACGTTCACGATCAACTACTCTTTAACGCAGTATACTAATTTTATTGAACGATTCTACAAGACCCTCACTTTCAAAATGAGGCAACATTGCTAAACTTTGTCGTGAAATGGCTTCTCATTTACTCCCGTTTTCAAGGAGAGGCAATGGAAATCACGGAAATAGCTTATTTTCAACGGGTAGACGTCTTAAAACGACGTGAATACTGCAGAAAGTTATAGAAGGTGTTCTTGCTGCTCACAGTGCAACTAAAGATTTGCATTTAAACAACGATTTATTATAGCGTAATTGTAATTATTTGACCATGAAGTTGGTTGATTGAAACTCGTACATGTGAGAATGACTGAGTCCTATTCCATGAGGGGAAGCTGTAGAGTTTCCATTCCAAGGACTATGTACTGCAACATGACTTTCGAGCAAACAAAAGTATAGAAACAAGAAATTGAAAATGAAGTAACTACCAGTAGTCTGATAAGGCGCACGCTGGCGTACAAGCAAGCAAGCAGGAGCTGGTTAAAGGCTGTTACATGGCATTCATTAGCTACAAGTTAAAGCGGAGCCAGGTTATGATATTCTGATGAGAATTCTAATCAAAACGAAAAATAACGTAATACAATAAACACGTTCTTATTCTAGATGAAATAAATACTGTTCATGGCAAATCTTCGTGTAAGAAAACGAAGATTTACCAATCGGTGAGAGAATATTACTTTGGCGTGACGTCATAACCTCTTAGTAGAATGGAAAGGCGAGAAAATTCTGAAAGCACAGTAACAATACCGCACTGAATTAAACGCCTTTCCAAGGAAGATACTCACTAGGAGGTCTGCCATAAACATACCACATCAGGGTAAATGGCGCACCTTACAACACAACACAGTTACCAAAGTTACCAAAGTTTTTGTCTCAACTGTGTTAATTTCACGCGAGGTCAAATCTTATTTTCACAAATTTCCTATTAAAGTAGACAACACCGTGACACCAAAGGAGTTCTCTAATAAGCTACCGAGAAAATAAGAGCGAGTCAGAGTACTCGTAAGAAGTCAGTGTTACAAAGAATCTGCTTGGAGCGAAAAAGTGGCCAGAAAATAAAGAAGTCTGTGGTGAAAAGCGAAACAATCTACAGAGTCACATTACTTTAATAATAAACCACCAGTTAGGAAGCAGAGAACACCAAACGCGACTCTTTCATGGCAGAGGGTGCACTGATAAGAAGCACAGGTTATCCAAAGCATTTGCATAACAAGGACGTTGCTCTCAAGAGAAGAAAGACTCGTGAGCTCTCAGCCACCTGGATCTAAGGCCAGTTTTTCTTCCTGGACATCAAACTATTCTCTGGTTATACAGAGACGTCAAGCACCGACTATCATTCAAAGATAAAACAGAAGGATATCCTTTTGTGTAACAAATTACCATCTTGATGGAGCTGACATTGAAGCTCATTACAGCTAGAGACTTGAAAAAAAGATGCTTGGTGTCATGAAATTAGGCGTGTGAATAGTCCATATACCTTTAAAGACTACTGCTATTTTAAGGTAAGATCTTCCAAAGAAATAAAACCCCTCGCGTTAGTCTTCAGTCCTACATAGAAGGATGTCATCTGTTTTGTCATGAGCGTGGAACAAAGAAACCAATCTGAGTACCCCATGAGGAATCCAACCACAGAATTTGGATTTCACACTTCATTGCTTTGCCAGAGATGTAGAGGACTCACTCACTAGTGAACTACATTTGTAGAATACATGGGTTGTATATGCCAGGTTTAGATGTGACAAGTGGCCTGTATACTGCACAAATGTCACTTATGTCCAAAGCACTAAGCGAGTAATAGAAAAAATGGCACACTGTGCATGTAAAAGAAAAAAAGGGCACATTTTCACCTTGACTAGGGATTTAAGAGATACTTCTCTTGGCAAAGTCTACTGAGTTCCATCAGTACACTATTCCTCTGTTAATCAAATGTACACTACTTCAACATTTGACCATTTGGGCATATGTCTTCTTGCAAAACAGTTATTACAAGAACAACTGTAAGAAGTACATGTGACTAACACAAGCCTTTTTCTAGTTAGTTTGTGTCTGATGCCATCTGACCAAGATGACAAGCTAGATCAATAATGCTTCCTCAAAACAATATCACTGTGCAGCACAATTGACATTGTTTTGATAAATCAAAGCATTGCAAGTTTCATGTGAGAATTCTCAGGTACCAGTCAGTTGTGAATTCACAAAATATGATGTATACAAAGTTGGTCAATGAAAATACTATAATCCACTAGTTAATAATACTTACTCTCCCACTTTGTTACATGGATGAAATATCTGTATGAATTGTACTGCAAGTCCATTGGATAGTTTGTCTGTGAAACTCATTGCTCCATACACAAATGCACCTGTTTCCTGGAATAAACACAAACAATTTATCATATCAGATAAATAGGGAAAAAATGCAACACCAAAATCTTAATCAGGCCAAACAAGACAACATTTACCACATTCTCCCC